ACAGTGTGGCAGTGAAATCCTCCTCCCCACATCTCCTTTGCTAGTTTCTTTTGGGTCAGTAGTGAGGAGCAGAATTGCTAAGACATGGGCAATGCATATCCTCAGATCTGCTCAGTATTGCCAAATGGCCTCCAAGGTGGTTATGCCTGTAGATCCTCCCAACTGTGTGTGGAGGAAAACTTGGCTTTTTTCCCACTGGAGGAGGGGCAGGTATTCCCACCACCCCAACCCCCCTTCTCTGTGAGGTTGACCAAGCTGAGAAGGCAGCTCCTTCAGCAGCAGGACGAGTGGGCTTCATGTTTCTTGGAATAAAAGACCCTACAATGACGCTGTTCCAAATAAGGTCACATTCTGAGGTGCTGGTGGACATGAATGCTGGGCAGGGGGCACTGGTCCCCCATATAACTCGCTGCAAGTGGGGATATTGATCCTTATGTGTGGTTAACAGCTCTCAAGGATGGAGTGAAGGCATGCAGTTGCATGGGACAAAATAGTAACTCCATAAATAAATGGAGCAGGGGAGGTTTTGTTATAGTGCGACCCAAAGTGCCCAACACAGCGTCAATGCCTAGGAGGTGTTCTGTCCACATTTGCTAGAATGTAAGCTCCATAATGGCAGGAGTTCATTCACTCACAACTGTTTATTGGGCGGCTACTATGTGTCAGGCACATGGCCATGCGCTGGGGCTGCAGCAGCAGGTAAGACTGATGAGGTCCCCATACTCACCAAAGGATTAAGATCAAATCAATTTGTTGAGTATATCAACAGTATGTATTGGTATTTATGTCAATAGCTTCATCCATGGCGCATGTCATGGAGAGGCCAAGCATTCAGATTCACAGCTTAGAGACAAAAGGCATCCAATTTCTAGAAACAAAGTGACATTTTATTTTTTAATAAAAGATTTATTTATTTATTTATTAGAGAGAGAGCACAGAGGGAGAGGGAGAAGCAGACTCCCCGCTGAGCAGAGAGCCTATTGCAGGGCCAGATCCCAAGACCCCAAGGTCGTGACCTGAGCCAAAGGCAGACACCCAACTGACTGAGCCACCCAGGTGCCCCCAAAGTGACATTTTCAAACAAAAAACGGGGCACCTGGGTGGTTCAGTCAGTTGAGCACCCAGCTTTTGATTTCCGCTCAGGTCATGATCTCAGGGTCGTGGGACTGAGCCCTGCCTGCACTGGGCTCCACACTCAGCGGGGAGTCGGATTATTTCTTTTGATTAATTTTTGATTAGTAGATCACATGTAACTTCTTCATCTCATGCCCACATTGAGTGGAGTTGTCATTGGATTCAAGTAAATTGTTTAAGGAGAGTTTACTGATACCAGCTCTGACCTGAGAGCTAAGTACCTGTGCCTTACAACTTAATCCTAAAGGCATTCTCTGGAAAGTGAAACTAGTGGGGGAGGGAAGGAATCTAGATGATGAAACAGTTGTCACACCAGGAGACACCCAGGTTGCAACTCTGGGGTGTGGCCATAGGGGATCGTGACCATATTAACGTAAAGATAGGGGGCGGCTGGCTGGCTCAGTCGGTAGAGTGTGCGACTCTTGATCTCAGGGTGGTGAGTTCAAGCCCTGCGTTGGGCATACTGATTATTTAAAAATAAATAAAATAAATAATTTAACATACAGATAGGACCTATTTAGAAAAATTCTAAAGACTTTAAGTGGGTAATACAAAGTGTAAGAATTTGACTAATAGACATTAATCCTGTACCCCTAGTGTTTTTTGTAAACTTATTTTTTAAGAACTAGACTCTTCCACTATTTTAATGTGGGATTTAATGAAGAGTTCTCATGTCCCCTTCATCCAGCTTACCCCAATGACAATGTCTTACATAATGGTAGGTCATTACTAAAACCAGGAAATTGACATTGGTACAATCCCATTAACACCAACGACTGACTTTATTCAGCAGTATTTACAGACAGTTTTTTTTTATACAGTTCTGTATTTTTTTTAAAGATTTTAAGTAATCTCTACATCCAACCTGGGGCTCAACCTCACAACCCCAAGATCAAGAGTCGCAAGCTCTGCCAACTGAGCCAGCCAGGTGCCCCCATACAGTTCTGTATTTTATCATGTGTGTAGATTCTAATAATCACCACCACAGATGGGATACAGAATGGTTCTGGCACCCCAAAGAAACTCCCTAGTGATGTTCCTTTATTGTTATATCCTCCTCCAAGCCCTAACCCCTGGTGACCACTGATCTGCTCTCTGTCACTCATCACTATGTTTTGTTACTTGGAGAAAGTCATAGACATGATATCATATAGTATGTAACCTCTTTTTTTATTAAGATTTATTTGAGAGAGAGAGAGCACAAGCGTGGGGGTGGGGAGGGGGGTCGGGGGGAAGGGAGAGAGAGTCTTAAGCAGAACCCATGCTGAGCATGGAACCCCCCCGCAAATGTGGGGTTGGATCTCATGACCCTGAGATCATGACCTGAGCTGAAATCAAGAGTTGGACGCTTAACCAACTGAGCCATCCAGGCGCCCCAGTATCTAACCTTCTGAGATTGGCTGTTTTCACTCAGCATAGTACCCTTGACATTCATGTAAGTTACTGCATGTATCCCTGGTTTGTTCCTTTTTTGTTGCTGAATAGTATTCCATGATCTGGATGTACCACAATTTGTTCATCCCTTTACCCATTGAAGCCATTTTACAAATAACTTACTTATAAATAAAGCTGCTATGAACAGTTGTGTGCATGTCTGTGAACACCAGATTCTCTTTCTCAATCAAAGTCTTGTCTTGAGGAGCACAAGGCTGATTCAGTCAGTGGAGCATGTGACCCCTGATCTCAGATCGTGAGTTCAAGCCCCACATTAGGCATAGAGATTACTTTAAGACAAAAAAAAACTTGTCTTGAACACTGAGATGAAGCAGTAAATGCAAGTGTGCTCTGGTTAAAGCGGGGTGAAGGACCCAGAACATTCCCATTTTGTCTCTCCTTTGCTCCTGCAAATGCTCAGGTTCCTAGGAACACAGTTTGGAAACCATTGTTCTTGGGAACCTATCCTCCTAGCCATGGATAGAAGATCTTGGGTTATCAGGGCTGCAGGACATCGGCCAGCTCAGTCCTCTGTCTCTGTGTGGTGCTCAACATTGCTGCCCATAAGAATCACCCAGGAGCATTAAGAAATCCATAAGCCCAGCAATACCCCAGACTGTCCAACTAAGATGCTCTGGGGTGGGGTTCAGGTGTCTAGTTTGTAAAGTCCCCAGGTAATGCTGATGTACAGCCAAATTAGAGGCCAATGCACTGAGCCATCTTCCTGATGAATGGGATTTCTGTTTCTGTTCACTAAGCAAGACCGTTGTTTTTTGTATTTTGTTGCCTTGAGTTTATAGGAAGACTCAATTTACTATCATTTATGAGTATCAGTTACAGAAACTGAAATAAGTTGCATTTTTTCTGTTGTCCCTTTTATTTTATAACAGCTTTATTGAGCCATAATTCATATACCACCCAATTCACCCATTTAAAGCATCCCATTCATTGGTTTTTAGTATATTCACAGAATTGTGCAACCATCACCTCCAAAAGAATTCTGTATCCTTTAGCTATCACCCTCCCATCTCCCCCATTCTCTCCAGCCCTAAGCAACCTCTAATCTACTTTCTCTTGGTGTTAAAAAATTAAATAAAATACCAAGACCCATAATAGGATAAAGTCCACAGGGTCGTGGGAGCCTAGGGGCAGGAGTGACTGATCCAGCAGAGCAAGGAAGCCTTCTTAGAGGAGGTGGTATTTGTACTTGGCCGTTTCCGCTTGTGTGTCTTTGCTCCTTCTATGCCACTAGCTTATAACAGAAGACAACAAGTGTTGGGGAGGAGGTGGAGAAGTTGGAACCCTTGTGAACTGCTGGTAGGAATGCAAAATGGTGCGGCTGCCGTGGAAAACAATATGCCAGTTCCTCAAAAAAATTAAACATAGAATTACCATTTGACCCATCAATTCCACTTCTGGGTGTATCCCCAAAAGAGTTGAAAGCAGGAACTCAAATAGATATTGGCACACTTATGTTCTTAGCAGCATTATTCACAATAGCCAAAAGGTGGGAACAACTCAAATGTCCATCGATGGATGAGTGAATAAACAAAATGTGGTATATCCATACAATGGAAGATCATACAACCTTAGGAAAGAAGGAATTCTGACACCTGCTACAACATGAGCGAACCTTGAGGACATTACACTGAGTGAAAGAAGCCAGACACAAAAGGACAAATACTATGTGATTCCACTTACACGAGGTCCCTAGAGGAGTCGAATTCACAGAGACAGAAAGTAGATGGTGGGAGCCAGGGGCTGAAGGAGGGAACGGGGAGTTAATGGTTAATGGGGACAGAGTTTCAGCTGGGGACAATGAACAAATCCCTAGAGATGGATGGTGGTGATGGTTGCACGACAGTGTGAATGTGCTTCATGCCCCCGAGCTGTGCACTTAAAAATGGTTAAAGTAGCATGTTTCATGTATATTTTACTGCAATTAAAAAAAAAAATGTAAAAAGAGGGAGAGACCAAGAGGACAGGCGTGAGCTTGTAGGGATCTTGGCGTCAGCCCAAGGCAGGAACAGCCACATGAAAGTGTTCCCACCTGCATGTTGCTCCCTGTCCACACCGCCCTCTCTTGTAGGGATAATGAGAGTGATCACTTGGCAGTGGTTATCAACGAGGATTTAGCAAGTCCTTCATATAAATGTAAACCCAGTGTCTGAGACCTGGAGGTGCTTGCTAAATGGGACCTGGCATTACCATCGTTGCCACCTCTCTGAGCACAGAAGAAAGAGCCCCGACCCAGCTCTGCCTTTTCTCTGTGTGACGTCAGGCATGTGTCCAGCCTCTCTGAGCCTGGGTTCTTCCTCTGAAATGGGCAAGCTGCAAGGCAGCTGTATTAGGATGGGCTGACCGGAGAGCATGGGGACAAAGCATGCCCTTGGCACCCTGGTGACACTGGGGGACACCCCCGTACCCCCCAGGAGCAGTCGAGCTGTCCCGGCGCCATCCCATGGCATCCTGGCTGTGCGCCATGCTGCACTGCTTTGGGAGTTACATCTTGGCTGATCTGCTCCTCGGCGAGCCCCTGATCGACTACTTCAGCAACAATTCCAGTGTCCTGCTGGCCACAGCCGTCTGGTAAGCACTGTCTGGCTGGTGGGATGTGGGAGAGCAGAGTTGGGGGAAGGGTGACCCAGCCACCTGGGAGGTGGGAGGCGGGGGGTTGGAGGAAATAGGACCCATCTGCACAACCTCCACAGCGGACCTGAATGCAGAGCTCTCCACTGCCCAGCTCTGTCCTGAGCCCAGCAAGCTGGGGAGGGAGATCTGGACACAACCTCACCTCCCAGGGACCCCTGACGATCTGTCTCCCCATGACGCTCTGCGTTCTCTTCCCAAAGGTACTTGATTTTCTTCTGCCCCCTGGACCTCTTTTACAAGTGTGTCTGCTTCCTGCCTGTGAAACTTATATTTGTGGCCATGAAGGAGGTAGTGAGAGTCCGAAAGATCGCTGTGGGCATCCATCATGCCCATCACCACTACCACCATGGGTGGTTCGTCATGATTGCCACCGGCTGGGTCAAAGGTAAACAGGACCATGATGACAATGGAAAATCACCTCATTTGAGAACCCCTGCTCAGTGGTACATTGTCAGGCACCCAGTTTGGCACAGACATTGCTCCAGGCTAAGAGGACTGTTGTGGGAGTCCAACCTCGTTAGCCAACAGCTTTAGAGTAAGTGGGGAGATTCTTCCAGAATTTAACTGTCAGAGATAAACAGGACCACGAGACAGTGACAGCTGTCTCTCAAGCAGGTGTTCTCAGCTGCGACACTACTGATGTTTGGTGCCAGGTCATCCTCCGTGGCGGGTGCTGTCCTGTGCTTGGTAACATGTTGAGCAGCATCCCTGGCCTCCTCCCACCAGATATTAGTAGCGCCCACCTGTGTGACAACCAGAAGTGTCTCCAGATGTTGCCAAACACCTCCTGGAGAAGAAATCACACCCCTGTAACTACAGGGGTTCTCAATCTTTGTGGGCCATGGTCCTTTTTGAGTCCAGTAAAGCCTTTTATGTTTTTAAGTGCATAAAATATATAGGATGATAAAAGAGGCCCATTATTTTAAAATAGCAAATAAAATTTTTAATAAAAGTTACCCAAAAAAGTTTTAGTATGATAGAGTAATTTTATATATCTTTACCAAAGTATTAAATAAGAGACCATTCACTTAGCAAATAGGTATTTCTCAACCTTTTGAAGTGTTCTTGAGCACAGATGATATTATGAAACCCCTCATCTGCAGCAATGGGGATGTGAAAAGGGAAAAATCCATGAATTCTGTTGGTGATGGAGTCACAGCCTTGCAAATCCTTCTCAGATTACTGCCTCCCTTCACAATGGAAGGAAAGGCTATATTTCGGTGAGGGACATGAAAATGAAGATGTAGTTCTGTTTCCGGTCTGGGTTCAAGGACACCAGGTTAAGACTTTATGACTCAGGGCAGGTTTGAGTTGAGGCCTTTGTGTATCTTATCTTCATTGATTCTTAAGACTCTTCTTTAGGGAAAGTCTAACATCATCCCCAATTTACTGAGGAGGGAAATGAAATTACTTGTTCAAGGTCACATAGCTAAGGGGGTGCAGCTAGGTTTGACTCCAGGTCCTCTGAATTCAACATCCATGTTCTTAACTACTTTGAAGTCCTCCTTTTCCTTCTCCTCTAGCTACGCTAAGAGGCAGACCAAGATAGACTTTAAAACAAATGTTACTAAAAATTAAAGAGGGACACTTTAGAATGATGGGTCAATCCACTAGGACGATATAACAATTATAAACATATATGCACCTAAAAACAGCACCAAAATATATAAAGCAAAAACTGAGAAGTTAAAGGAGAAATAGACAATTCAACAATAATAGTTGTAGAGGTGGACCAAGGAGTAACAGGAAGACAGGGAAAGAAGGCTCGAGCAGGTGCTAACACCGTTGGGCACCTTATCCCTGCTCCCTAATACCAAAGTGGGTATTGCCAAAATGCCAGGGCCTAGAAGCACGCTCCACTGAGCCACAGTGTACTCAGCACCATTGACACATGGGGCTGGATCATGCTCTGACAGACTCTGGAGACTGTCTTGTGCATTGTAGGATGTTGAGCAGCATTCCTGGCCTTAACGCACCAGGAGCAGCCCTGCCCCAGTTACAACAACCAAAAATGTCTCCAGATATTGCCAAATGCCTATTTGGGGGCAAAATCACTCCAGATATGAATGCCTGGGCCAGTGGTACATATCAGGCACGTCAGCACAGCCATTCCTGGAGTGGGTGTTCAAGCTTCTTTAGCCAATACATTTGGGGTAAATGGGAAGATTCTTCTAGAACTTCAACCATTATGTCCCATATGGGTCTCCTTATTCACTCCCCAGGAAGCCTGTGCTATAGAACAAATTCCCCAGGGGGATAGCATGCCTCCCAGAGGGCAAGTGGCTTAAGAAAGATTGAAAGTTCAGAGCCCTGAGGAGGAGAGAGACCGGGATGGGGAGCCTTCTAGAAGCCTTATGCACAGCTCAGGGTCCTGGACTAGGGGCATCAGGGCAGACAACCCAGATTTGTTGAAGACATACCTTGCAGATGAGATATGACCTCAATGCCTTCATGCTGGTTTTGCTCCAGATATTGCCATGTGACCCTCCTGAGCCTCAGTTTCCCCACTGCAACTGATTGTCATACACCCAGGCTCAGTGTCCCTCTGGAGAAGACTCTAGGAGCAGCGAAGCTGCTTCCTTGGGAACTCAGCCAAGAAGAGTGGGGAACTGGAGGTGGCAGGTTCATTCAGGAGCACTCTGTCTCCTAGGCTCTGGCGTCGCCCTCATGTCCAACATTGAGCAGCTGCTCCGAGGGGTCTGGAAGCCAGAGACCAATGAGATCCTGCACATGTCCTTGTGAGTATCCCATTCCACCCCCCCGCCCCCATCCCTACTGTATGTACGGGCGCCTCCTGGGCCTGACCCTGGGTTGGATGCTCCTGGTAACTTGGAAACCTCAGCCACTAATTTCATCTTCCAGAAGCTTCCAGAGGTCATGGAGCATCCATGGAGCAGAAGGGGAGCCATGGCTCTGCCTAGGGGGGAGGGGCAGGCAGAGCTGCAGGGAGATGAGCTACTTGATTTGGGTTTTGAAGAGTGAGTAGGAGTTTTCTGGCAAAGGAGGAGCCTCCGGACAGAGGCCAGCACCTCTGCCAACTGTCAAGTCAGAAAAGAGCAGTGATTCTGCCCAGTTCTGCAGGGTCGGGATATAGAGTGTGGGTGGGAAGGAGTACAGAGCATTGGTGGGCAGTATATGGCACGGTGTGTGGGTGGATACAGAGTGTGGGTGGGGAGTGTGGCTGGGACTAGGTGGGCAGGACCACAGGGCAGCATCCAGGACCCAACCTGGGGGCCCCATGCTACATTTAGCCTATACATTTTTAAAGGACCTCATTGGTTTGGGCTAGTTAAATTTTCTCCCAATCTACAATAAAGAAAGTGATGGCCATTAAAATATGACAAAATTTTTTAAAAGGCTCACCCATACGCCAATGAAAATTCCCATTTCACACCTCGGAAAAGAGCATTATCTCATTTCATCCCTACTAGAGGTCTGTTCCCACCCTCAGTTCACCGACAAGGAAACGGGGACCCAGAATGTTGTGTTGCCTACTACTAAGTGGGCAAGTGGTTTCCCCTCTTGGATTCTATTTCGGCCTCTTGAGCGGAGGGTGAGGGCTCCATGGAATCACACTCATAAACTCCCTGGCCCTGGTACCTGGTGAGTGCCTTGGAAATATCAGGCAGGATCATCAATCATCATTAAGGACAGCAGTGAACAACAGACATTGGGAACAGAAGTCACGGGTCTCTCTTCCGTAACAAGTTAAAATATTGAGAACCTATCCAGTAAGAAAGAAAAGGAAAGTTATGAAAAAGAACAGGCGGTAGCTGACCGCCTACATGCCTGGCCTGTCTCCAGTCCCTCCAGAGGTCGAACTGATACCACGTGGCCCGAGACCCCACTTTAAATCACATCATTCCTAACTGGTATGACCCAAAGTCCCCAAGTGAACAAAGACACTCCTATCAGGCAGGACATTTCCAGGGCTTAAAGGAAACCTCCCAGGAGCCAGGGGGGAAAGCCACACCTCTCTTTGGGCCAAGTTAACCCTTTACTGTGCAGGGAAACCCCACCTTATCTATGCCATGCAGCATCTTCCCACCTCCCACTCAGGAGAAGCTGGGATAGAAGTTGGGGCCAGCAGTGGGCAGGCAGAGAAGGGGGTCTGGGCCAGAGGGAAAAAGGCCTGGGCTACGTGGCACCGCGCGGTAATAGAGGCTGCCCCCTCCAGCCCCACGAAGGCCAGCCTGTACGGAGCCATACTCTTCACCCTTCAGCAGACTCGCTGGCTCCCAGTATCCAAAGCCAGCCTCATCTTCATCTTCACTATGTTCATGGTCTCCTTTAAGGTAAGTCTTCCTGCCCTGACCCACACCACCAACCCACACCTTCCAGGCTGGGAGCTTGGATTTGCAGTCTTGTGTCCCAGGAAGGACAGCCCTAAGGCAGGGGCCTGGGGAAGGGGGTCCCAGTAGGTCTGTGCATGGGAGAAAGGTCTGATAAGAGGAGTGTCCAGCCGGTGGGGACAGGGTAAGGAGAATACGGCCTTCGGGCGGAGGGCCGAGCCTGGGCAAAGCCCAAGAGTGAGGCAGGAGTGCATGGAGTCCGTTTGGAGAATTGGGGCCTCGTGCCTTGGTGGTGGAGAGCTGAGGGACAAGACCCGGGAAGGCACACTCAGGACACCAGGGACTCAGGCTAGATCAGGAATGGTGCTGGTCTGATCCTGAGGCCTTGAGCGGGGGTTAGCTCACCCAGGAGGGGTCTTCAGGGACCACACTGTCCTCATGGATCTGGGGAGCTCTGCTTCTGGCTCCCTGGGAGGGGACCCATTGGCCACTGAAAGGGGGAAGGGAATGAGCCGCCCCAGGCCAAGCACTGTTCCTCTCTGAGCCCAGGTGTTGGGGGCCCCCTGAGGTGAGGGGGGAGATCAACTGTCCCCGTGTGCCCCATGCTATCTGGAGTTTCAGCACCAGAAGTCCTGTATCTCAGGAAACCTAGGGCAGTTGGTCACCCTCCTGGGGGTGCATAAAGCCAGAGGGATGGGCCTGTGCTACCTATGACCTTGACCTGGCTGACCTTCTCTCCCCTCTTCCCTCCCCCCACCCCCCCACCTTGCTTTCTGCCTCGGTCTCCCTCCATCTCTCTCGCTGTCTCCCTGTCCCTCTGTTACCCCACCTCAGGTGTTCCTGACGGCCACTCACTCCCACAGCTCCCCTTTTGATGTTCTGGAGGGCTACATCTGCCCTGTGCTGTTTGGGACCGCCTGGGGGGGCAACCATCACCATGACAACCACGGTGGGTCCCATGGCGGGTCCTATGGCGGCAGTGGGCCCGGCTCCCCACACTCAGCCCTGCCTGCTAAGTCCAAGGAGGAGCTGAGTGAGGGCTCCAGGAAGAAGAAGACCAAGAAGGCAGATTAGTGGATGGCCCAGAGGCCTTGAGGGGTACCAGGGAGAGGACCCGGACCCAGGACCCTCAGAGCCGGTGCGGGGGCATCCCGGGCTCAGCTCTTCCCTCTCCGGGCCTCAACTTCCCAGTCTGCAAACTGGGGCCATGTCGGGGGGGTTAAATGAGATATGGGGGTGAGGGGCATTTGTAGGAATGGAGGGGTCCCTCTCTCTTTCTGCCAGGCCACCATAGCAACACCACTTTATTTGGGCAGTGGCCCCAGCCAGAAACCCTAGCAGTTATATTTTTGGTTCTGCTATTTCCTCTCTAAAATTACATCTTGACTCCAAAAAGAACTTCAGGTTGAGACTCATGAATTTGATGGACAATTCCTAAATGTCTGCTATGAGGCAGCTGCTGGGACTTCCATCTCTTCATTCCCACTCCTTCCGGACGGCACTGGGCAAGCTGCTTCCTCCGAGCCTTGCATTCCCCGTCTGTATAGTGGAGACCCCCAGGCCTCCTCCACATGGAGGCGCTGGTGCGTGCCTGGATGTGAACCAGCTTTATAAACTCTTAAGCACCGTGCAGTCGGGAGGGGAGGCCTTGATGGATGGATGTTCATTGTGCTTGAGAACGGCTTTGCATTTTAGATTATTTGTGTTTGTGGATCGGAGAACCCCCACAAGTTAACCTGGCACACAGGGGGCCTTCACTAGACACATCTGGGCCAGTCTTGAGAGCTTGGGGAGTGGGGAAGGCTTGTTCTGATCTTTGGCTTCAGGCCGCCCCTAAACCAAAGAAATGCAGCTGGCTGGGCAGGGGTGCCAAGATCCAGCTCTGTCAAGGGCCTCCGAACGTGCTTCACGGTGAGTGAGGGGAATGGTAGCTGAGCCCCCATCTACCCGCCCCCCCGCCCCCCCGCTACCGGCCACTTGATTCATCTCAGCCTGTGTTACCAGGACATCTGAGTGTGGCCAGTCTCAGGTGGGGTTTGGGCCCAGATGGGGCCGGCTTAGACCTGTCCTCTGCCCCCCCTGGGGGGGGGGACGCGGGACAGAGCAGCAGCCTACAGATGCATCAAGATCAGCATGGGGCCAGTGGGATCCCAGGTATTGCCCAGCTGTTGGGAAAGTGCCTTGATCTGGTGACACCTGGCAGCCTGGTGGGTCCTGAGGCTCCGAATTCATCCTCTTGCATGTTTATCAAGACTCGGCATGAAGGTTCAGCAAATAAATCTGTTGTGAAAGAAGCACAATGGCTTGGCTGATTCATTCCTGCTCTTTCAGCCTCAGGACGCAGTGGGGTTCTGTGTCCTTAGAGACACTCAAGAGTTTCCAGGGAGATGAGGTTCATGGCAGCCCCCAATTGCCAAGAGGAGATGGAGCCTGCGGGTAGAGTCTGGAGTTTGGAGTTCAGATATTTACTGGGCCACCAACAGGTCATGGGGCCTCCCCTTCTCCAAGCCTGTTTGCTTCTTGGGGAATAGGGCGTAATGATTATCACTGCCCTTTATAGACAGATGGGAGAATTAAGGGAGTGATTGGGGTTTGCAGCTAAGAGTCTGTACAGGACCCTGTTAAGAGAACAACTTGGCAGTCACACATCTGATAAAGGGATTGTATCCAGAATATATAAAGAAATCCCAAAGCTCAATAATAAACAGCCCAATTAAAAATGAGCAAAGGATTTGAGTGGACACCTGGCCATAGAGAATATACAGATAGCATTTTAGAAAGCACATGAAAAGATGCTCAACATCCTTAGCCATCAGGGAAATGGGTGGGAAGGTACCCACTACACTCTCTAGGATGGTTGCTGATGAGTGCTGGTGAGGATGTGGAGCAAGGGGAACTCTCTTCATTCCATGGGCAATATAAAATGATGTAGCCGCTTTGGAAGACAGTGGCAATTTCTTAAAAAATTAAATGTTCAGGGTTTCTGGGTGGCTTAGTCGGTTAAGTGTCTGCCTTCGGCTTGGATCATGACCCCAGGGTTCTGGGATCGGGCCCTACGTAGGGCTCTCTGCTCAGCAGTAGCCTGCTTCTCCGTCTCCCAGCCGTTCCCCCTGCTTGTACTCTCTCTCTGTCAAATAAATAAAAATTTTTTTTAAAAAATTAAATGTTCATTTATCATATGACCTAGCTATTCGGGTACTTGCCCGAGAGCACTGAAAATACGTGTCCATGCAAAGACACGTACATCGATGTGCATAGGTGCTTTGTTATAGCCCCAAAGTGGAAAGAACAAATGTCCATCAAAAGGTGAGGGGATAGATAACTGCTCCATCCAGTGGAATTGTGCTCAGCGATTCCATTAGCAAAAGGAATCAGCATGGGACAACATGAGCGAGCTTCAAATACATTACAATGGGTGGGGGAAACTATAAAGAATACTTACTCCACGAGCCCATGTATGTAACATACTGGAAAAAGCAAATTAATTTATAGTAACAGGCTGATCAATGGATGCTTGGGGAGAGGGGGTGGGTGGGAGGGATGGCGAAGAAGCGCACAGAAACTGGGTGATGGAAATCTTAACTATCCTGACTACAGCGGTGGTTTCACGGGTCTATATGCACATCACAACTTACCAAATTATATACTTTAAATGTGCTCAGTTTAGGAGCACCTGGCTGGCTCAGTCGGTGGAGCACACAACTAGTAATCTCAGGGTTGTGAGTTCAAGCTCCACGCTGGGCATGGAGCCTACTTTAAAAAAAAATGTGCAGTTTATTGTATGTCAATTATATCTCAATAAAGATGTAAAAAAATGTTCACTTAAGAAAAAACTCCATAAAAATTGGGCAAAAGATTTGAACAGACGGGGTGCCTGGGTGGGTCAGTGAGTTAAGTGTCTTCCTTCCACTCAGTTTATGATCCTGGGGTCCTGGGATTGAGTACTGAGTGGGAGGTCTCTGCTCAGTGGGGAGCCTGCTTTTCCCTCTCCCTCTGCCCCTCCCCCTGCTCATGCTCTCTCTCTCTCTGTCAAATAAATAAAAATCTTTTTTAAAAAAGATTTGAACAGATCACGAAATAAACACACATGAAAACTGTAACAAAATGCTGCTGCATGTCTGTTAGGGGCTGAATTGTGCCCTCCCCCCAAATCCATAGGTTGAAGTCCCAATCCCCAATACCTCAGAAGGTAATCATATTTGGAGACAGGGTCTTTAAAGAGGTGATTAAGTGAAAATGAGCTCTTTGGGTGGGCCCTACTGCGGTCTGAGTGGGGTCCCTGTAGGAAGAGATTAGAGGGGCACCTGGGTGGCTCAGTTGGTTAAGCGTCTGCCTTCCGCTCACGTCATGATCGCAGTGTCCTGGAATCGAGCCCTGGTACAGGGCTCCCTGCTCAGTGGGGAGCCTGCTTCTCCCTCTGCCTGCCTGCGCGCGCGCGCTCTCTCTCTCTCTCAAATAGATAACATCTGTAAAAAAAAAAAAAAAGAGAGAGAGATTGGGATGGGACACAGACATGAGCAAAGACCCTCTGAGGACCCAGGGAGAAGATGACCATCTACAAGCAAAGGAGAGGCCTCAGAAGAAAACTCTTGTGCCGCCAAGCCCTTTGTCTTGGACTCCCAGGTGCCAGAACTAACTATAAGAAAATAAATTTCTGGGGGCGCCTGGGTGGCTCAGCCGGTAAGCGCCTTCAGCTCAGGTCATGGTCCCAGGGTCCTGGAATCGAGCCCCACATCGGGCTCCCTGCTCTGCGGGAAGCCTGCTTCTCCCTCTCCCGCTCCCCCTCCTTGTGTTCCCTCTCTCGCTGTCTCTCTGTCAGATAATAAATAAAATCTTAAAAAAAAAAAAAAAAAGGAAAGAAAGAAAAGAAATTTCTGCAAAAAAAGCCGCTCCGTCTGTCCTTACGGCTGCCATAGCAAGTTAATAGGATCCTGCCTCAAATGTTTAAAATAATAGCTCAGGATGCCAGGGGCTGGTAAGGACTCCGCTCACCCAGTGCCGGTAAGAAAACAGGCGGCGGGTGTCTAGCGAAATGAAACACCGTTTTCCATATAACACAGCAATCCCATTCCTAAGTGAAACACAGACTCATGGTCAGAGCCGCTGTTTGGGGGAATCACCAAAAAAACAAAAAAAAACGGAGGCATCCCAAGTGTCTGGCAGCGGGTGAGTGCGCGAAGCCCGCGGGCGGTCCGGGGGCGGCGGCCGAATCGTACCCAGCAGCGAAAAGGCGCGAGCTGCTGATTCGCACAGCACGGCGCATGCGTCTCAGAGGCCTTTGCCCCGCGAAGGCGGCCAGACTCCGACGACACGCCGTGTGCGCTCCTTAGAGGCTATTTTAGGAAAAACAAAATCACTGGGACAGAAAACACACCCGAGGTTGCCAGAGCCGGGCAGTGGGAGGAGAGACTGCTTCCAAAGCGGCCAGGAGGAGGGGGAGGGAGGGGGTAGAACGGTTCTGTCTCTTGATTGTGGTGGGGAATCCACAACTGTGTGTCTTTGTCAAAACTTCCAGAAATGGATGCTGAGAATGTCAGCTTCATCTAACCAGGAGAGGAAAAGCAGAATAGGCTGCCAAGCTTCTCGGACCTGATCACATCCTGGCTTTTCGCCTGCGAGGTGCGTGGCGTTGGGGCAGTAACTCCCCTTCTCTGAGCCTCAGTTTCCTCTCAGGAGGACTAGCAGGAGTGTCTGGAGCCGGATTCCAAAGGCCAGCTCTGTAACTCCCCGGAGCACTTATGCTGGGGCTCATCTAGCACCTGGTGGGTGTGGGTGATAAGCCGGCTCTGAGCCCAGGAGCACCGAAGGAGGTTCTGGGATCTCATTTTATGAGAGAACAGGTTGTACCAAAATAGCCTCCCAGCCTATTTTGGGAAGGGGGTGGGTAGGCCACCGTCTGGCTGGGGGGATGATTGGCGGGGCAGGCTAACCCTGTCGCCCCTGTAGGTGTAAGAACTCTGAAGACCAGGCTCTCAAGTCCAGCCCAATTATAGCTGCAGGAGTCACGCTCAGTAGCTTCCTCTGTCTTGGGTTGAAAGAAATGTTCTTTTATCCTCCTCCTCATCATTATTACTATAATTATGGTAAAATACACAACATAAAATTTTCCGTCTTAACCATTTT